CCCCCCCCCCCCCCCCCCCCACCACACACACAGAGAGAGAGAGAGAGAGAAATTTATCATCTGCCTGTGGTGTGGTGGTTGGTTAGGATACGGAGGACCCCGTTTACGGCGACCTGCAGAGTGAGGGGTTGCTGGGGACGGTCGACTACTCCGACTACAAGGACACAGCACCCGCCGTGCCGTCTGCGCTGCCCGAGTTCACCATCGGCTCCGCATCGAGGCCACCACAGTGACCGACCATGTGTGTGTGTGCGTGTATGGTGTGTGCTGTACTGCGTCGTCGGGCTGTTGCGATTGAGTTTGTTGAGAGATTAATGAGTGCTCATGAGAGAGAGAGAGAGAGAGAGACAGGGAGGAGATCAGAGGCTGTGGGTGGGCCTGTGTCTGTGTGGTGACGTTCGGTAAGGTGGACACGCAGGCTGTATTCCGTGTCGGCGTGTCTCCCTCACCGAGGGCGGCCACAGAGACAGAGGAGCCACCCATGCTGACAGCCAGCGAAGATAAGACTCGTGAGACGTGTGGACCTGTTCAGTGTTGCGTTTCGGGTCGTTGCGCACCTGTTGCGTCTTTGGTGCTTTCCCATTGTGGCCGGCGTCTGACAGCAGACGACAAGAACCCTCTTGCCGGCTGTTGTTCTTCACCGTCCATAGGGGCAACTCACAAGACGGTGCGGTGCATGCTAGAAGAGCAGCGGCCATGCCTGTCATTTCCCTACTATGTGTAGCTTGGTTGGGGCGTTTGGCCCACATACCCACGTCTGTCTGCAATTTTGCCGCCAACCAGACAGGCAGACAGACATCAGAGAGAGTTTTTTGTTTTGTCCACTCCACGGCTGCGTGTGTGTGTGCCAGTGTACGCCTGAGTTGCTGGAAGGGAGGGCGGGGCGGGTTCAAGGCTTTTTCACGGGACGACCGTCTGTCTGGCCGTGTGTGTGTGTGTGTGTGTGTGTGTCTGATATCGCTCCTGGCTGCGCTGCGTGTGACCGCCCCCAAGACAGAGAGAGCGACGCTGCAATGGCTGAGCTGTCGTGCGAACTATGTGCCGACCGACAGTGTGTGTATGTGTGTGTGTTATGGATCAATGTGCTGGCCTTGTCGGAGTGACGTGAGAGCTCACCGGGGCGGTGTGATGACGACCAGCAGGCCGCGGCGGCGGGAGCCAACAGAGACGAACGCACCGTGAGCTGCTGAAGGCTTCAAAGGACAGCAGGGGGGAGGGGAGGGGAGGGGCAGACGACTCAAAGGAGAGCACTTTGTCGACAGACGAAGGGCAAAGAAATGCCCCATCAAGAGGCCAGAATCTCCGTCAACCTGGCCACGCCGAAACAATGTGCCGATCATCTCAACGGCCACTGGCAAAGCTTTGCCTGACAGTGCTGTGTTCTCTCTTGTCGGCTGCAGTCTCCCTCCCCCCACTCACTGACCAAGGAGGCCTCAGTGATGCGGTCGTCTGTGCTGTCCCCCGCTGCCCTGCGGCTCGTGGTCTCACTGGCAGGTGGGCACCGCCCCCACACACCACACCACTCTTACACCTGTCTGTCTGTCTGTCTGTCTGTCTGGTGTGCTCTCTGGCCGTCTGTGTGGCGTTAGCCTTTCCCCCGTGGCTGGTGCCGCTGTGTGCCGCGAGCGGTGCCGGCCTCCTCCGCCCCAACACAGCGCCCACCTTGACCAGCGCCAATGACACCGCGGCCGGGGCCGAGAAGAGGCGATTGCACCCGCCACACGTCGAGTACGATCACACACACGGCCGGCCGTGACCTCTTGACCCCTTGGCTGCATGACACTGTCCTGTTTGTTTGTCTGCAGATGTGTGTGTTCCGAGGATCAGTTTATCATGGACGGATGTGCAAACACTGGCATTCCGACTCTCACCGATCTCCGGTCCCAGGTGCGCACTCGACGGCACTGAATCCATCGAGGCCGTGGATTATTCGACACCCACGGGAGGCCTGTGATGTGCAATCGTGTGTCGTGTCAGATTGGAATCGTGTCAGAACTGGCCTGGAGTAACACCACTGTGTCTGCTGACGGTGTAGTCGTAGTGGCCAAAATCGGCGATGTTGTCGTGGGTGAGCTGGATGGCAGTGTGACCGTCGTCCAAGTGGTAAGCAGAGCGCACCTGGTGTGTGTACGGCCATATGGATGACTCGACTCAATGCAGACCATCCCTGATGACGCAGACGGAATATTGACAGCGGAAGGATTTGTCACACCTGATGGGGAGACAATTACGACTGTCCAACTCATTCGGTTTGGACCATTCGGTCTTTTTATCGGCATCACGGTTATGTTCAACGAGGGCGGCACCATGCGAGCCGCCCAGACGGGCGCCCAATGCGCAGTGCGACGCGTTCAATGCTTGGAAGATTTTGACTGCCTCCTGCTCGATCTCGAGCCTCAGGGAGTGTGTGGCAACAACTTCCTATGCGCCTCGGATCAGGCCCCCGTGGGCCCCGGCTTGGGACTCTGAGCGTCAGCGGGAGGAGGGGAAGGGAGAGAGTCATGGTGTGTCTGTCGTGTGCCTACTAATTCACTTACACCCCCCCGCCCCCACCCACAGAGTGAGATCGACGCTGCTGCTTTTATGTGCAGGGACGACGTTATGTTTCGTGTGGTCTCGCTGTCTGTCAGTGTGTGTGCAGACGTGACATACACAGAATGGCCGGGGGCGGGCGGGGCAGTGTGTCTGTGCGGGCCGCTGACAGAGAGAGGGGAGGGGGTGCGGTGATGACGGCCGCTGTGTTTGCCTGAATGCCTCGTCTGTGCCTCTCGGATGTCTCTCTCTCTCTCTCTCTCCCCTTTGTGGCTGAGTGTTGTGGCCATCTGACTGACGGCTGCGTGTGTGTTGTGTGTCTCTCTGTCCTCCTTGAGTGGTCTGTCTGTGGTGATGTCGTCTGATGGATTCGTGTGTGAGAGAGTGTTTTTCTTTTGTGCAGAGACGCAGGCACACAGCCGGACAGACAGACAGACAGACTGACTTACTGACTGACGAGGCGGCAGAATAGCGTCGTCCACTGCGGGTTTCATGATTTCTTAGTTCTTTGTCATTTCTTGAATAATTTTCCTTGGTTCTTTGCTCTTGTCGTCGTGAGGGAAGACAGATCACGTCTCTCGGTGCACTCAGCCATGGGTGTCTTTGGGCTGAAAGACAGCGGGAGGGGCGAAGCTTGTGACTCTCGTGTGTGGTTGAGTGTCTGGCTGTCTGACTGACGGCTGCGTTCGTGTCGTGTGTCTCTCTTTGCTGTCATTGGGAGTGCTCTGATCTGGTGTGCGTGAGAGTCGGCAAACACGCACACTGGACACAGAGGGAGGGAGGGAGGGGAGCGATATGGGCGTGGCGTCTGTGTGGTTCAGTGAGGCCATCCAATGAGGGCTGCATGTGGTTTCACACACACAGAATTGGGGGGTGTGGTGTGGGGAACTGGCAGACATCACATCCGCTAAGTCATTTATCAATGACAGAAACCTCTCCCTCACTGTGTGTGTGTCACACGTCGAACCCATAGCCCAGCCCGTTCATTCCCGGCCCTGCAGTAGCGCTCAGCAATTACTCATTCTCTATACACTCGCACGCACGCAGGTACGCTACGCTACAGGGCCCGAGGGTGCGGCGCTACAATCCGAACTGCTTGGCCGCCCAGACACCCGACCCTGCACCCACAGCACAGCACAGCACAGCACACACCACACAGGCATCAATCACGTGAGCACACAGAGGTCTTGTGGGTGTAGGTGCCTACCGTGTGCAGTGGATAGCCGCTCCTCTCGCGCGTCTCGCACTGGATCGGCGGCCTCGCCGATGCCCAACGCACCGACAGCTGAACAGCACAACACACACCCACACACAAAGCATCACCGACCGATTGGATCAGCGGCTCGACGCGCATGGATTTGTGGGCTTACATGGTCCCTGTTTCTTGTGTGTTTTGATGTCCGACTGCCAGGACGAGATCTGCTCCTGCTCGGCGGGGGAGAACAGAGACCTGACCGTCACAGGTGCACACAGCCACGTGTGTGTGTAGCGGTGGTGGTGTGGGCGGGTTATGGGTACCTTTTCAGGTACACCTGCTGGAAGAGATGCTCGACAGCCGTCCTCGCCCAGGATTTCTGCAAGAACCCATTCACACGGAGAGATGCAGGGACTGAAGGGCCGCGAGAGTCGTGAGGTCGTGTGCGGCCCGCCGCCTTGGCTTACGTGTCTGTAGGTGAAGATGGTGCTGAGCGCGTTGAAGAAATAAAGCCGCTTCATCATACACAGCTCATCCCTGCACACAGACATCCATCAGAAATACGCCATCGAACATGCACGGCCGCACGAATGTTGCTCACCTGGACGGCGCGCTCCACTCGAGCAGTGCGTGCGACGAGGGCGCGGCCGCTGCAAATGACGATCCAAACTCGGAATCGTTATCCTGCTCCTCGGGCTTGACGGCGGCCGATGAAGCCGCTGCGTCGACCGGACCATCACCCGCACTTGAAGGCTCCTCATCTGCACACATACACAGGGGAGAGAGCCCAGATGCATTCCTCACGTGACGTGTGTTTAAAGGTCTGTTTGCCCACCTTGTTCCTTCTTGACGGTCACGGGAGCGCTTCGATGCTCCTGCGGCGCAGGCTCACCCTCGGCGCCCTCCCCCTCTGCCCTTCCCTCAACCTTCTGCTCCGCCTCCTGCTGCTCCTGTTCGTCGTCATCCACCATCTCCTCTATCTCGGTCTGGGTGTACGGCTCGAGCGCCTCGAACACGGCCTTGAGGCGACTGAGGCTGGTGGTGAACTGGTACGTGTCGTCCGTGAAGAGCTTGTTGTGGTGCACAGCGGCGATAGCCAGGATCTCCACAAACTCCCTCTCCAACTCGCCAAAGAACGGCTCGCCGCCGCCATCGCCGCTCTTGGTCTTGGGCAGCAGCTCCTGCTCGAACAGCTGGATGACGCGCGGACGGCCCTCAGGGCTGGAAGTGGCGTGATTATGGGCCATGATCCTCCCAATGCCCGTGAGGAAGTACCCCTTGGTCTCCGCCGTCATGTGGTCCTTTGTCAGCTTGATCAGCAGCTCCATCGCCTTGGGGAACTTCTGCCGGTGCTGGGCGTAGGTCACGATCTTGGCGAGCGCGTCGACGGGCGTCTGTGCGACAGGCTCGGAGCGCGGCTTCTTGACAGGCGCTGCGGGAGCAGGGATGGCGAGTCGCTGCCTCTTGAGTGCCTCGTTGACGCCGGCCGCCGCTCCCTGCTCCCTCTGTCGCTTCCTGAGCTCCTTGCTTTGGTGGTGGTAGAGCCTGTCGAGCAGCCGCTCGGCTCGGGAGCGGCCGATGAGCTGAGCGCTCTGACTCTGCTGCAGCCGGCGACTCATGCGACAAGATGGAGTGAAGAACCGATGTCGTTCGTTAGGAAACGCGCTGCGTGGCGGACTGGCTCCTTTTTTGTCAGCTGCTTCTTTCGAGTTGCGAGCTGAAGGAAGAACATGCCGATCGCTGGGCGGCAAAGGCGAGAAGAGCAGAAATGAGGACACAGCACGACGGCTGAGGCGATGGATCTTTGTCTTTGAGCGCTGAAAACCGGCATCTATCTATCTGTGGCAGTCCATGACGTCATCTGGAGCCGCTCCTGTCTTGGAGCAGCTGGCCCACATGCTGGACATCTGGAACACGAGATACCGGCTTGCCGAGCTGCTCAAAGCCGTCACGCTTCTCTTGAGCAGAGCGCCGACTGGGAGGAAGAAGGAGTCCGCTGCCAGCCTGGTGGAGTTGCTGGACGTGGCGATGGGCCTGATGCGTTGCGGCCATGTGCTCAAATCGGCGTGGCAGTTGCAGGAGGCTCATTTCGACAAGTCGTTGGTGATGCGATGCTTCCGCCTTTGTGTGGCCTACATCGACATTGTCAAGGATGTCACGGACGACCTTATCTGTGTGAAGGCGATGCCCAGCTGGGGCAGCCAGAAGGGTGACGGACCCCTCATGCAGTCGCTCGAGAGAGTGCAGGTGCTCTGTGAGGGCCTTCTCATCCTATCAGGTGACCGGACAACCCAGGTGGACAACCCGCACACACAGACACGGGTCCGAATGTGTGGGCGATGTGCCATCCAGACATTGCCGAGAAGTGCATGGTCTTAATGAACCTCTCGCGGTGCTCTCGCGACTCCCAGCAACTGCTGATGAGCAAGGCGACGGCGGCCCCGCTGAAGCCCGCCATGTCACTGGTTGAGCCCTCCCATGAGGTCGAGGCGATGAGGACAAAAGCCGTGGTATATCTGGTCAAGAAATGCGTGGAGCTGTACATGCTGCGGAGATACGTGCTGGGGAGAAGCCTGCGCTCTCTCGTGGCCGGGATGCTGCGGCAGAGAGGGGGCAGGGGTGGTGGCGATGGTGTGTTGGCGGCCCGGGGGTCTGATGATGTACAGAGAGTGAGTGTGGGTGAGAGTGCTGTAGATAGTGTGGTTCATATGGATGACGGTTTTGCGCTGCTGGTTCATGCCCTGCTGTCGCTGTGGCTCAACTGGCTGAGGACCAAGCGGGAGATGCACCTCTGATTCATATACGAAAACTCTGGCCATGGTCTGTGTGCATGCAGAGGGGCATGATTAAGTCAAAAATTCCATGTAAAATGTCGCACGCATGAGTGCTGGTTTCTCATTGATCGAGTGCTTTCGCTGTTCTTGAGGGCGACGGTGGCACCGAATGAATCAGGGCACTCGCACACGGCCCCGATTCATGCGTTGACGTCGTCATCATCAAAAACAGCGACACACAGCAAGGAAGTTCATACGACCGACCAATGGAAGAAGAGAGCTCGCCACAGAAAAAAACACTCTCTCTCCACGTTGAAAGGACGGCCCTTTCATTCTCAGTCTGCCTAGCGAGGCCATCAGCCACCCACCCCACCCTCATCTGTACACACACTCGCGCCCACGCCCACACGCACCCTTCGGTCCCTGCCCCCGTTGTCACCACAGCATTGACTGCTCAATGAGGGCGTCGAGCGGCTGTGTGTCCAGCTTCTCGACCACGCTCCCGACCCAGAGGTTGTAAGCGACGGCCGCCACGACAAACCCCACGACGATGAGGATGTTTCTGAGCCGTATGGACTCCCACATGCGGATCTCCACCTCCTCGTAGTCGCGCAGATCCACGCCCTTCCTCTCAGCCAGGATGGTGAACAGGTCGGCCCCCTCCTCCAGCACCTCACGCTCCACCGCCTCGATGTCATTCAGATATACCACCAACTTGCTGCCCTTCGGAGGCGGCGGACGCGTCGGCTCCGCCACTTCCTCTTCCTCTGCAGATGGTGCTGCCGACCTCGGCGGCAACTCCTCCTCCGTCGATGTCTTGCGAGTCTTCTTTGTGGCCGCCTCGCTCGCAAGGCGCAGGAGTGAAGCTGATCTGGGCTGGCTGCTGTGCAGCGGATGGGACAGCCTTGAGATCGGGAGGCGTGAAAGGGGTGAGGGGACGAAAGCTGGGGGGGATATGCTGCTCGACAGGGCGAAGTGGATGATGCACGATGAGAGCCAGAGGAGGATAGACGGCCACCGCAATGGTCTTCGTTGCCGCGGCTGAGCATTCATCATTTGTCAACACCAGAGATCTCCCAATCACAAGCGATTTCAGCAGCAACAACAGCTTCTCAGCGTCCTTTATGATGCCCAGGGGGAATCTCTCTCCAAGAAAGCGAAGCTCGCAACGAAGCTCGCAGGAAAAGGATGCGAAAGAGAGGGGCTGGAGGACCCTGCTGTTCATTGAGAGCATCTTCAACACATACTGCCCGAGCCGCACAACTCCCAAGCGCTTCGCTGATTAACATCTCCCTTTCTTCAGTGGCGTCGACAAACGGGCAGCCGGCGTGAGACCATTCGGGTGCTTTGCTGCAGCTTGCCTGCAGATCCCTTTCATCCTTCATCCACGTCGCTGCTGTTGATTGATGGGCATCTTCCTGCCGGCCCTGCTGCTGGGCGGAGGGCTGTTAGGCGGCCAGGCGTACCTGAAAGAGTACGAGCAGACGCTCAAGGACGGCCACGGCACACCGGCAGGGCAGACGCCTGTGTTTGGCTTCTGGACCGGCCTGGGAGTGGGGCTCCTCTTTGGCCTCTGGTTCGGGGCCACCTTTCGGGATCCCGTCTTGAAGGTGTTCAACTGCCTTGACTACCTCCTGGGCGCGCAGAGCTCGGATGAGCTCGACGCTGAGGACAACAAGGGCAAATGACTGACTCTGTCGAGATGGTGCAGGGCTGAAGGATGGGGTGTGTGGTTACTGTAGCGATGGACTGGTTGGTTGGGGGCGCGGGGTGTACAGTAGTATTTCTTCTGTGTGTGGTCCATTAGCAGACCGTTGCGTGTGCGCGAATGTGTGTTTGAAAGCGCCCCGGTAGAGGAACAAACGTGACGGACGACATTGTGCGTGCCGTGACGCTGTGAAGCCTGAATGCATGTTTTGTGTGTGTGGCTCTTGGTGGTCACAAATAAAGGCTTTATCAGTTCGTATGGACACACATGACGTCGGTCCGTCACATCGATCTCAAGCATAGCGTCGCAGGTCGATCGAGTCTCTGACGAATATGTACACACGCACACACCCAGCAGCCGCTCTGCACCACGCACTCACCACTCACAGCTCTTCCCTCCTTGTCTTCTCTGGTGGTGGATGGTGGCGGTGCACCCCTTTCTCCTCTTCCCCATGGTGTGGTTCCAGCGCGTGTCTGGCCTCTCGTATCCGCGACAGGTCGTTGGTGAGCGGGGCCTCCAGCCGATGGTGGTAGAGCTCGAGCAGCCCGCTGCACGCTGATTGACGAGCGATGGACGGCCACAACACACACAGAGGTAGATCGACGCGTCTGGTGGTGTGCTCACCGTGTGCTGCATCTTCCTCTCCCTTGCCGCCGTCAGCCTTTGTGGCGTTGAGGCACCCGCTGACGACATCGTCAGCCCCCTTCTTGAAGGCAGCCACGGAGGCCTCACTGGCGTGAAGACCGGCGAGAAGGGATGTGGGGTCCGCTGACATGCCATTGCCTGCGAACGAATTGGCGGCTGAGGACCTCTCGTAGATGGCCGCACCTGACAGGCAGGGAGTGGGAAAGTGCATGGGAGTGAACCGCTATTATGATTGGGGTGTGTATGGTACCGACCGAGAGCCAGGAGTTTTTCTGAGAGGTCAAGGTTGACGGTTCGGCCGTCGGGCATTGTGTTGATTGGGGCTGAGAGCAGCGACCGGAGCACCACTGCCATGCTCTCCTCCTGACACACAAACACCGCACCGCCCCGCCCCACCAGACAGATGAGGGGACCGTGTCGTTTTCGTCTCGCTGTCTGTCCACCGGTTGTCTGAGTGCGAGATGGTCAACCCAGTCGCTGTCAGGCCGCTGCACGAGAGCAGTCTCCAATAATGCTACGACCTGCACCACACACACCCCCACCCACACACACGCACCTGTCTGCACAGATGGCGGCCTGCATGGCTCTCTCACCTAACCTCACCTTTTTCAGTATTGGGGCGCTCGCACGGTCCGCCTCGACGAATCTGGGCAGTGCGTCGACCATCCAGGTGAAGACCCCCAGCTGGTCGGCCTCCGCCAGAGCCTGCACACAGGTGGGCGGGGCAACACAACACGCGGGCCATCTGTCAGTCAGTACGTGGTGGGCTTCTGATTTTGTCCTGTGTTTTCGTCGTACGTCTCTGTTGTTCTTGATGATGGCCGACAGGGTGTAGAGCAGCTTGCCGCATAGCTCCCGCGACGGCTTGGCGTGAGCCTCAGTCAGGTTGGCAAACCCCGAGTGGGCGCACTCCAGCTTTGTGAGCGGCCCCATCCTGGGCAGGAAGTTGAGCTCTCGCAGGTCGGCCTGCACCTGCTGATTGTTCTGCACACCGGAGGAAGCAATCAACACGCCGACAGACACCAGAATGATTGTTGGTTCGTTCTTTCGTCCCTTCCCACCTGTGCGGCGGTGCCAATGGTCCATGTGGCTGCCGTCCTTACGCTGCACTCACGAGGAGGACACGACGAGTGTTGTTGCCACCCACACAGACGCACCGACCTCCCCACCTACCCTACCTGGCTGGCAGCGTGTCATTGAAGATAAGCGACACCACGACGCCCATACCGCTGCAATCAAATCAACACACAGACACAGAAGCACAGCGCTCATGGCTGGCTGTGTGTGGGTCTGTGGTTGGTTTGCTTACCCGATGGCCCTGAGGTTCATGGCGTTGTCGACTTGGTGCTGACACAAACAAGCAAACAAACACACGCACGAACAGAGACGGCACAGCTTCTCGTTGTGTGACGGTTGTCCGTCCGTCTGGCTGGCCGGTCGGTCACCATGAGCTCTTCCAGTTCAAGCAAATCTGCTCTTACATTTACACACACACACAGAACGAGTATTCCTCCCCCTCCCTACTGTGGTTTGCGTTTCAGAGTGCCTCTCTCTCACTCGATGGCGTCCGGGTCATTGTGTATGAGTGTGTCGTTCTTTAGGTGCGACACGATCCGCTTCATAATGTCGGTCTCCTCAACCTGGTGCCATGAGCACACAGCCACCCACAAGGCGCACAGAGATACAACTCATGGTGACTAATGGAGGAAGGAGGGAGGGAGGGAGGGAGGGGAAAGTCTTACGAAGAACTCGTCGAAGAGCTCCTGGCCCAGTTTGTCTTTGATGGTGAGGCCCTCTGCCTGATACCTGGCAGCCAAGTCGGCGATCTTGTCGGGGTCACTGTTCCTGATGGCCCAATACAGCAGACTGAAACCACACACACACACACACACACAGATTCAGACACATCAACCATTAGAAATGAGCCCCGTGAGGCCTCTCTGCACACGTGCTTCGCTCCCTCCCTCCCTCCCGCACCCACTCACTCCTCATGTGCGGATCTCTTGGCATCGATGTTGCCGATGGTCGGATCATTTGACGCCTCGGGGAGAGCAATCTTACCACTGCCGTCTGTGTCGCCGTCGTCTCTCGCCTCTGTCTGCTGAATGGCCACCATCTGCCCGGCACAGCCATGAAGCACCGCGGACATTGCCAAGCAAACCACCAGAAGCAGATCTTTCATTTTGGGGTTCATGACTGCGGACACTGACACGCGCTGCTTCCCCTCTGGCAGTTTGATCACATCCACACGTCACTCCTTCACAAGCTCGCACTGCCACACAACGCGGGAGTCAACGCGGATACGCTTCTTTTCTGGCTCGCTCAGCAACGCGCTGTGGAAAAGCTGAAAGGTAGCACACGCAGGCAACACCACACACGACACACAGACAGGCGTGTGAGGTTCATGATCTCGGAGGGGTGGGCAGAGAGGCAGGGAGGGAGGGGACAGATGCGACAGCGTCGACGCACCAGGCAGGAAGAGCACCTGGCACCGAGGCTGATGAGGGGGGTGGGTGGGAGCGGGCAGGGCGAGACATAGAGTGAGGGAGGCATGTCAGCATCTGGCAGAGAGAGATCCGTTCTGCCTGGTGGCGACGGCTGCCGCCGACTCATGGAGGGGGGAGGGGGGAGATAGGCTCAGCTTAGTGACGCTGTGATGACAAGTGCATGTGGTTCTAGTGAGCCGTGGTGCGTGTGTCTCCTCCTTGATGCACGTTTTGTGCCTTGGCTGCGCTTGTGTGCGCTGTGTGTGCAGGAAGTCGTGAGACCGAGCGCTTGTGTGAGCGATTGACCGCGAAGAGCTGCCAAGGTAACTTCCACACGGGCACACAGAGAGGGAGGGGCTACACACGCGACACACACACACACACTCAGTTGCCTCTGGTGATCGAACAGAGTGGAGTTTCATCGTCGTGTTGCTGTTGTGAGGAGTCCGTGCGTCAAGGTGGATGAGCTACCAGGTGCCCCGCCCCCTCCCTCTGGCCCTTCCGACCCGCTAGCCGTGTTGCCGACCCACGTCAGCACCACCACCACCGACACGCCGCCACACTTCCCCTCAATCATGACCATGCAGTGCTACAAGACTAAAGTCTGTCGATTCTTCCTGTAAGCAAGCTTGGCAACACACAAAGGAAGGAGGACATGACGCGGCAGACAGCGCACAGACAGACAGACGGACAAGGCAACACTGACGCCTGTGTGTGTGCAGCGAGAACCGGTGTCTGCGGGGGACCAACTGCACGTTCGCGCACAGCACTGAGGAGCTGAGAGCGCAACCCGACCTCAGAAAGGTACCACACCACACCACAGCGCGGCATGGCACGGCTTCACTCTCCCTCACTCATCGTCTGTCCATCCCTGTCTGTCTGTCTGTCTGTCTGCACAGACGAAGATATGTGGCATGTGGGCCAAGGGGAAGTGTCACGACCCCACCTGCCAGTTCGCCCACGGTGAGTGAGTGAGGAGTGACGACTGCAGCTCACACGCCCTGTGCACCACACGCAGACAGGCAAGAAGATGAGATGGCTCTTTGGTGTCTGTCTGTCTGTCTGTGTGTGTGTCCAGGCGCTGAGGAGTTGCGTAGCCCAGCGGCGTGTTACAAGACGAGTCTCTGTTTCCTGTGGCAGAAGGGGCAGTGCACGGCGGGCGACAGATGCAGATACGCACACGGAGTAGAGGAACTGCGCACCCTCAAGTAAATGCTCAATCAGCATGCACTACACTCACTGTTTGACATCACCCACACACCAGACACACACACACACACACATCGTCTACTCCTCGTTCCGTTCCATCCTTTGTCTGTTAGGTTGATGCAGGCGGAGGGGAAGCACCCGTGTGACGACCCCCTGATGACGGACACACCCTCTGAGGTCGCATCCACGCAGCCCTCACCCACACGTGGCAATCACCACCACCACCACCCACTGCACCACCCGCCCCCCGACGAGCAGCGCCGCCGCCACCATTCGGTCCACTTCGCCGGCCCGCTCTTCCATCTCAAGGCGGGCGACAAGTTGCCCATGGCCAGACACCACGGCGGTCGGGGCCGCTTCTACTCGCACGACCACCACAGCATCACCCACTGCGACCTGACGCCCACCCACGCGGCCTCGCGCACACCTCAGGCCCGCTCGGGCGGGGGCGGCAGACGCCACACCATCATCCACCCGCTGCACAACATCGGCCACACCCAACAGCAGCAGCACCAGCAGCAGTCGCCGGCCCCCCAGCCCATTAGCGATGTCGTTGTCGAAGGGGGCCAGCAGCAGCAGCAGCAGCAGCGGGGGGCTGAGGTGGTGATTACGGCATCGGCGATTGACCCGAGCGTTGCCGACAACTGGGGGACGACCTCGCCACCCCACTCGGACAAGTCGGTGACCTGGGCGGGTGCGTCAGATGGGGAGTCCTCCGAGGACACGCCCACCCAGAGTGAGGGCCAGTCTGTCTGGGGCCACTCGTCCAACGGCAGCTACGGCATGGCCTCGCCCAAACAGGAGGGCATCATGCAGCCGCCCACACACGCAGCCGCCGTCAACAAGCAGCAGCAGCAGCCGCCCGTAGAGGCCGCCAACGCCCACATGGCCGCCACCAGCATGCGACTCGAGATGGGCCCCATCGTCGACGACCCGTCGATCATCAGCATCAACAACAACGGCCGCGTGTGTCACCTGGCGTCGCCCACACACCACGTGAGCCCCAGCAGCAACGCGATCATGCCGGCCGGCATACAGGCGATGGGCTGCGGGCAGCCACAGGTGCCGCAGGGGGCGGCAGGGGGGCCCAGCATGGTGCGTCAGCAGGGGGGACTGCCGCCACTGCTGCCCAATGACGTCTTCCACACCCAGGTACGTACGTCACTCACACATCGACACGCACACAGAGACGGCTCGCTCATACGTCTCTCGGGCATGTGTGTGTGTGTGTGTGTGTGTCAGCCGTGTTTCTTGCCCGGCCAGATTGGGGGTGGGATGATGCCGCCGCCGCTGCAGATGAGCCCCATGGGAGCGTCGTGCAACACGGGTGGCCTGACGCCGTCGACCCACGCGCCGTCGCCCATGACGCCCACGAGCGGGGCCGACCCCACCTGCAGCCAGATCCACTTCATCACAGCCATACAGGCCATCAACATGTGCCAGACTAACGGTGAGAATGAGAGCGAGAGAGAGAGAGAGAGAGAGGGAGCGAGCAGTCCGGTGATCGTGCCTGCTGCTGTGTCTGTTGTGTCATTCGCTCAGAGATGCGGAGTCTGTCGTCGACGCTGCAGTGCTGCGAGCAGTACGAAGAATAGACGTCCAGGGGGGATGTGGAGAGGGAGGGAACAGGGGCCGGGGGGAGCTCACTCACTCGCCCCACACACATGGCTGCAGGCAGGAGTGGGGTCACTAGGGGCGGGGCGGGGGGG